TCGTGTAAAGCATATATTGATACTTCCATTATCGATTCCCTGTCATCCTCAAATATTTAACTCGATAGAAAGCTTTAACGCATAGTAGACATGATCGAGTTTACAAAACGTGCACACCGCATCGTCTTGACAAAATCAGGACATTTCACCATCATTTACGTGAAAAATATTGTTTCTTGTTATAATATGTTTCTAAAAACCTATTTTATAAACTGTTCCTTCTCTTTTATGCTTTTGTTATATTTTTGTTAAAAAATGTTTCACATTTTTTTATCTAATTTTTAATTTATATCTTTCTATATTAACACAATATTTATAACAATGTGAATAACGAAAAAGATCTAACAATAATTTTAAAAGAATAATAAAAAATAATAATATTTTAAATATTTTATAAATTAAATAAAACGTATATATATTTATAGAGTATTTATTCTAAAAAAAACATAATTATATTACATATATTTATATAAACTAAAATATCTATAGAAACGAGCTAGTTTTTACTTTTTCTCATCTAGAAAGCTTTTCGCAGCCTTATACTCGGATAAATATCGAACGTGAAAAAAATTTACTTTATCCTAAGAATTAGTTTTTAATTTTTTTCTTGCATTTTTTTTTATTTAATTGTTATTGGCCGCAAGCTTGTTCGCAGATGAGTTTTCGAAGTGGTGCCTGATGAGTTTTCCTTCCGACGAGTTTCGGGGTTGGATTTTATTAAGATACTTCGCGTGGTCTGCATCGCGATCTGCGAAGCAAGAAGACGAGTCCTTCAATTTGCGCGGGAACTACCTTGAGTCCTCCGCCAGTTTTTCGCGGATAAACTTTGCTCGTTTTTACGAAGCCGCAATCACAGCCATCTCTGATGATAATCTACAAGTTATCATTACTTTCCAGCAAACGTCTCAAAACGTCTTCCTGCCATTACAAGGACTTTTCCACGTGACTTTTTGTACATAACTAGAGGCAAAATCTGCAATATTCTAAAATGCATATGCAAAATGCATATTTTATGTAAGATATGTATAAAATTACGCGATGCAGAGAATTTTATTTTGGGAAATAAGGTTTCCAAGCTTTCGTAGAAAGTTTTAAACTCTCCTCTCTTTAAGAAGATTAGGGGCAAGTATTAGTAAGAATAAACTACTGAAATATGTAATTTCTATGTTTTATTCTTGGGTTACTCTAAGATTTAAAAGGTTAATCCTCGTTGGGAACAAAGGAAAGAACTTTTAAGAGAGAATCGCCATAATACATATTTTGCCCCTACTGCATCATTAATAATACTACTACTATTTAATTTAAAAGGATGTGTATTCACACCCTTAAATTAAGAAGAATTATCAATATACGCTTTTTAATAATGCAGGTAATAATTATGCTGATACAAGAATGTTGGTGAATTGAAATTAAGTATGTAAGAGGGGATTAGTATAGATAAAATTGGTGTTTGCTCGCATAAATTAAAAAAAAGATGCAGTTACATTTCTTGTGCATCCCATCTATATACTAGTTTCTAGTTACAACGCTTCGAATTACATACGTTGCGTCGTGTTGCGTGAAATTAAATTCAGGAGCGAATATGATCTCGCGGAATATCTGCTGCTCGTTCATAATTTCAATGTTAACGTGATGCCCGCGCGAGTAATTCATTTCGCGTTATACGAGTAAGTCATTCCACACAATTGCGAGAGTCTGGAGAATAATAAATATGTAAAGAGCGTTAATACACATTTGAATAACGAAATATTTGACGATTATAAAATGCAGAAATAATTACCTAAAAATTATTAGAAGTTAGCCAGAAAAATGTTCTTCAATTTAATATGGATTGTTTGCATAATTTAATTTTTCTTTTTTTTAATTATAATTTCCCCGGAATATTGAACATTTTAAATCTTTTTTAATGAAAGATACGATATCATAAATATATAGAAAAATATAAATAAATACAAATGCATTTTCTATATAAATTAATTTTATTTTCTTTTTTTAATCCTGAAAATGATTCTATTTCGCTTTATGGCTCTATGATGCGAGCTATTTACCTCTCAGCTCTCGCAATCGGCATCATTACCACGCAATGAATGTTGAAATAGGAAATGTCAAAGCTGTCGTATTAATGACGTACAGGCATTTCGCAGGCCGATAATACACGCCACAATGTGACATTAAAGCACGCATTATGGCGATGCAGGGTGGCGATCCGGCTGGTCGATTTAGCATGCGTGCTACCATAATACATATTAAAGTGGAGAGTATTAGCAAATATTGGAAAATCTAGACTATAAAAAGATCATATGTTCATTGCAACATTCATATTACAATATTATAATTAAAAAAAAGAGATATTTATCACCAATCTCTGAAATATGAAATTCAAAAGTTATATAATATTCTTTCAACGAGGAAAAATTTCAATCTTGATGATTAATTAATATAGAAAAAATCTAAGTACTGTTATTTAAAAAAGTCAAACAAATTTTTTATTAAAAATTTTATTCAAAGCTCTGAAACTTCCGCGCACTATTATTGGGTTATCGAGCAAATTTGCGTTATTCTCGCTGGATGTATTTGTGTATTTTAATATATTTGTGTAATCTCGTGAAAAAAGGTCTCGGCTTTTAAAGATAGTATTTGCGCTTTCAAATAACAATAAATTTATTTTATTGCTTCTAAAATTGGTTTTTACTTCTCGAAATGGAAGTCGGTTAAAACATATTTTCCGTGACGATCGCCTTTAATGGTGCGTGAAATTGCAGTGGCCAGCAACAAAATATTATGTATCTCTCGCTTCATTTATCACGTTACGCTGTAGGATCCTTGAGCAATAAAAAAAATTCGTGTTTAATATTACTCGTGTTTCTAATAATGTAAATCAAAATTTTTATATCGATTTTTTAAATTTAAATTTTTTACCAAAAAACAATCTTTTTATATGATTTTTCTCGTTTGTAAACCTCAACGTGGTTTGCAAACGTGACTTTGACGCATGCAAATAAAAGTCCGTGATCTACGTATTTTTGTGCATCTGCACTGTGTTGTGATTTCAAATAACGTTAACAAAAAAAATTCTAGCTGAGAATGTTACTAAAGAATTGTTGTTCTAGTTCAGAAAACATTAACTTGGCAATAACATGTTATTATAATTTTTATCATGTTAAATGGACGCGATGCTGAAAATAGATAAAGCAAACTCCTCCGCTTTTCTATTTCTTTTTTTTCAGAATCGAATGACATAGAATTCCTTTCATAATGTAATTTTTCACACGTTTTACATTTAATTTTAATATTTAATCATCATTTTATATGCGGAAACTCTAAAATTATTTTGTTCGTTGAAATGAGAATTTTGTCAGATTTAACCAGATTTGATATCAAACATTTTATTTGTTCCATAATAATCGTGTCGGAATTTTGTTGTCAAGCAAAAGTATCGTGTCGAATTTCAATATTATATTTCTCATATAGTTCATTGAATTTTAAATACATCGTGGACTATTATTTTGATCACAATTATAAAATATAAATTCAATATATATACAATATATATAAGATTTTTTCGAGAGAAAAACTTGAAGTATACATTTCGCAAATTTCAATATTTACGATTACACATATGATAATTGAACATCGAATTAAATTTGTTTTTAAACTCTGAAGTTCATCAGTGATATTATATGTTTTGAAAAAGGAGAAGAAAACAAAAACTCATAAAACTTTAAGTTTTAATTGAATAATTTGCAAATAAAAAGTCAATCAAGAAATTTATTTTTTTGGACAAGTTAAATTGTCGTTCGAATTTATTGACTATCGATATTAGATACAAGTTTGTTGTCGATGCTCGTGTGTTGCCGGAGCAAAGTAATCAAGGCAAGTGAATCGCTAATTAGGTCACTTTGTGCATAAGTAAGCCCTATAGCTTTGACTGGAAGATTAATTACTTGTTATCTGTGCGCACGTTTCGGGTCCAGACTTCAAACATCTAGTTTTCCCTATCATTCCTCTGATAAAACTGTAATTGCGCCTTATCGTAACACTTTTTTTTTCAATTACTTCTCTTAATTCGTCTTATATGAGCCATCAAGCTTCACTATTAATCGATCAGCCGTATTAGCATATGAATGGATTGAGTTCTCATGATTTCTCGTAAGACAGCCAAGTTTTAACGAGTTAATATTATTGTGATATAGCGAGAGTTTCTAGAAAGTTACTGACATAGCAAAACTTGTATCATATCGATTTCGCAGAAATTATACGAAAACTATGAATGGAAATACATGTTTGATAGAATTTGTAGCATTGAAGTTTGCATATATATATATATATATATATATATATATATATATATATATATATATTTGACGGAATTTACATTCAACACATATTCAAACACATGTTCAATATGTAGGTGAAACCAGACACGAGATATATGCATACGTTCCAATAATATAGAAATTTTCGTATAATGTGTTTATAATAACGTTTGTAAACTATATTGAATAATTAAAATCGTATTTCCTCGTATGTGGCAACAATATTACATTTATTAGATATTATGTTAGTCATTTGATTAGTAAACGATTGCGAAAATATTTTAATCAATGCGGGAGATATTAGGAAATTTTAGGAGATTTTAGGAAATATAACGTATTTTCACATATTACATTATCACATATTATAATCATGATATTATATGATATTTATTCTCAATATTATTGCGTTACATTATCGAGTTTCGTTGTCAACCTTTTTGCAACGTCATTAATTTTCCGATGTTCCGATATAAGAAATAAACAGCGGCGTTGCGCAGAAACAACGCAGTTTCCGTGATTAAAAATGATCATCGATTACTTTCCACGCTCTATTTCAAGTATCACGCATCTTTTCAGGATACAGCATCATCGAGAGCGCGATGCCTCTTTACATCAACTACTTTACTATCGAACGCGATAGCGGTCTATCGAAAAAAAAAGTTTGTGTGTGTGTATCTTTTGCAGGTCGGCCAGGCCCTTGCCATGCGATGTCGTTGCAGAGCCCCAGACTTCGACATTACAGGTCGAAACATCAAATCAGATATATGCCTTCTAAAAAAGTTTTTATTATATGCTGTATACACATGAGAAAAGACATGCGGCTCTCTCGCTCTCTAGTAATTGTATACATATACATATATATATATATATATATATATATATATATATATAGGGTGTCCCATTTTAATGTCCTACCCCAAATAACTTTCTTATTTTTAATTTAAAAAAAAGATGTTTCAGACAAAAGTTGTGTGATTTTGAAGGGGACATAAGATGGTACCATTGGTTTGAGCTTGAAGAGTTATTTGAAGGTTCCCTTCAATTTCTTAAATGAACCTACATTTTCTCATTACATATTCTTGTAGCTTATCTCGAGAGCTTTCCAAAACACTATAATAAAATATTGTTACGTTGAGTACTTTTCGAGTTGAGGCTTGAAATCATTTCTTAATTTTACATAAACCGTAATATATCTAGTAAAATATTCATTTTTCGATTATCTTGCCTTAATACTTTTATGTACAAAATAATGAGAGAAATCAATTGGTGTAAAAAAAAACACATAGTTGTTTCAAAGAAAAAATATGTAATTGTTAATTGCAAATTACATATTTTTTCTTTAATATAACTATGTGTTTTCTTTATACCAATTGATTCCTCTCATTATTTTGTACATAAAAGTATTAAAGCAAGATCGAAAAATGAATATTTTACTAGATATATTACGGTTTATGTAAAATTAAGAAATGATTTCAAGCCTCATAACTCGAAAAGTACTCAAGGAAAAAATATTTTATTATAGTGTTTTGGAAAGCTCTCGAGATAAGCTATAAGAATATGTAATGAGAAAATGTAGGTTCCATTTAAGAAATTGAAGGTAACGTTCATGTGACCTTCAAATAACTCTTCAAAGTCAAATCAATGGTACCATCTTATGTCCCCCTCGAAACCATACAACTTTTATCTGAAACATCTTTTTCTAAAATTAAAAATAAGAAAGTTATTTGGAGTGGGACATTAAAATAGGACATCCTGTATATATATATATATATATATATATATATATATATATATATATATTATATATTATATATATTATATAATATATCTCAAGTTTCTTTATGCATCCACGCTTTTGGAATGACGTTCATCGGCGCTCGCGAAACACGCTGCGGTTAACATTCCTAAACGGAAGGCTGCGATGTCGACTTGTGTGAACTCGGCGATCTCGTGCTTTACATACGCTAGAATGAGTCTCGCGCGTTTAGTCCCGCTGCGTTTACTCCTGAAGTCTCTACCCTATTCATATTTAAATTTATGCTAATTCTAAATGACGCGAAGAATTTAATCTCACATGTATCAAGCATCAAACAGTACATCGGTGTTGTGATAATTTTAGATAGTGTATGTTCGAAGATCAAAAATAGAATCTAGAATTATTCGTTCTTTTTTTATTTCTAATATCATGCTTATATAATCAAATTAATGCTAAGTACTTCTTAGATTTTTTAGAAATGTCGACGCGACAGTGTTTGCCTTGTGTATAATAGTGCTATGCGTTACTAGATCTTTGCTTTACATGATATCAACTTTTAAAAAATGCCTTGTATCATTTAAAAAAATTTTACATTACGAAATTTACATTATTAAACATTTTTATCAATTTTCAAAAAATGCTCATTTTAAAATTCACATTATTAAAAATTTCTCATGATTATTTTTTCGCAAGAATTATTCTCGCGTATTCTCGACAAAAATCACGGTCGAGCTTACACAATCGCCAGCCCCGTTGTAATTATTACACGTACGTTATTGTGTCTACTGTACATTGTTAGAGTGTTGTTCTACTTAGCTACGTTTGTATTATCTTGAATATCTCGTTAAGTTCTTTCGATCGTATTCACGAAGTGGGCATAGACGAAGTGTGGTTTCGTGGCGATAAGAAGGCAGGAAGAGGCTCGCACATCTGTATATATCAATATATCTGTATATTACACGTGCCTCGTTCCTGCTGCCTCTTGTGTACTGATGGTAGCTTCGCAATAAAATCGAGCATGACAATCGTCTTGTTGCGCGTCTTAATAAGGGTCTAAAAGAAACCACGACTTCAATGAAGTATTGTCACTTTTGAGCGCTCTGTTGGCATGGCCTGGTTTCACGTAATTTTATCGTTGAGAGATGCACCTTCTTCTTCCGTTGAAAGTTCTTCCGTTCCGCTCGCGAGTGGCGGCAAGCGGACGTCACGCTTTCCTACCGGCTTAAGCCGAGACCGCGCACTTCCTTTTTTCAGGACCATGACAGCGATCTGCTTCGTGTGCAACCTGCCCATCCTAAGTCATCAAGTCGGGCTGATATGGCAGGGTGGCAACGGCTGGGACGATCTCGTGCGAGAGCAAGTGGAGGAGTCCACTTTGAAACAACGACTGGGTATGCACGGACACGCTTCGACGATTCGTAACCAGCATTTCTCGCACATTATGGAAATTCGATGGTTTTCTTATGCGAAAGTGCTTTAAATTCATTTTCATGAGAATTGTAATGGCCGATACTCGTGTTGCGCAACTATTAAAGTCGAAAATTAATAGCATTTGTATTTTTCTCTTATCTTCTCTCTCCGGGAAAAAAAAATTCATTTCATTAAACAAGTATCGTATAGAAAATTAATATTGAATAAATTGCAGAAAATAAGTATTATATAAAATAATAAGAATAATAAGAACGTCCCTCTTTTTAAAATACAGCAATTAAATCAATTTTTAATTATGTATTCTATTTCTATCTTTCGAGCGACTTTCTCAATTATAAGTATAAGTATAAATAATACTTTGCTATTTATATAATATTATTTCATTATTTATTAAGAAGAAACAAAGACCCACCCAAAAAAGCTGGCATTGTCGTTGCGCATCGGATTTTTTTATAACAAATTGATTTGTTATATCGTTCGATTAATTCAAGAATAAGATGACGTCTTCTTATTATTGATAATAAGGAGGCATCATCTTATTCTTGAGCTAATGGAACGATAACATCTAAATATAAATAAAATAAAAAATAAAAATAATTAAATATTTGCGTTCAGGAACAGGCAGACGAGACTCCGCGGCGCAAATCACATCGATCTCGCCACCGAACGAGACCCATGACTCCTCGCCGACGAACCAACGTCGACGGCGATCGAGTCTCGCACAGCTGACCGACATCCTGCGCGAATGGGGCGGCGGTGCCTCCGGGAAGAGCGGACGCGGCAACAAGCTCTGCCGCAGGGAGACCTTGGCGGACATCGCCAAGTCACTGCCGTGGTCGCGACAAACCACCACGGACGCGAGCCACCTGGCCAGCCTGCGGAAGAGACGGGAGAGCTCGGTCGACAGCGGTATTCGCAGCCAGGTGTCGACCAAGTCTAGACGTGATTCCGCCATCAGCGATTTCAAGAACGACATAGCCAGACTCTGGAGCAAGAAGGAAACGCCGCAGCCGCAGCCGCCCACGGTCATCTCACCCACGCCACGACGAGGTAAAGCTTTCAATAGCAAAGGAGAAATAGCTTGTGTTTCTCTGATACCAGTCTAAAAATAACGCTCGTGCTCGCGATTGCTTTGAGACTGCAGAGTGATTGATTTGTGGATTCAATGAAAATAACTCATTAGTTTTAGAGACAGATGTGCGTCTTGCATGAGTCACGTATAATCGTTCTTCTTTAGATTAAATTTTAAATTAATTAATTTAATTTAAAGATACACAGAGAGGAAAAAGTGTGACGTTTTGTTGCAGATCTAACGTTGTTTTAACATCCGTGACGAGGCACTTTGAAAAATAGTTTCTTTTTCACCAATTATGTTAACGTGAAACGCGTAATTATTCTTGAAATATTTTATTTAGTACGTTTCATAATTTTTAATAGCTTATCAACGTTTGCGCGCGTCAAATTTTAATTTTCAAACAATGTAAAAAAATTAATTATGAAGGGAATAAAAAAAATTAATCGTTTTTTAACGAAATGCACGATGCATATATATCATACTAATTATTATATCACTTGCAGGTTCTGGCGAATCGAGAAATTCTCGTCGTGGCTCGGGCGAAAGCGCAAGATCTAGAAGAGATTCGGTGATTGCGGGACAGACTCCGAGTCCCGGCGAACGTAAGCACAACTGTCGTCATCATAGACGTAGGCAATCTCAACAGTCGGTGGATGGAGGTGGCATTACACCTACGAAATACTACAGAAATGATCAAAGACCGAGCGCTTCAAGCACAGACAGTGCGGCCAGTAACGCGGTCAGGTCGGTGAAGATGAACAATTAAATTGGCCAGTAGGCAAATAATTAAATTCAAATAAATGTGATTAATAGGTAATTAAAATACATAATTTTTAATTATTTTGTTAATAATTTTTAATTAATTTTAATTTAAATTATTTTAATTATCTTTAAATTTTTAATTAATATCATAACCATTCGTACAAAAGAATCATTTATATATATATAAAATTATATACACAATGCCTCATAATTTTCTTCGATACAGAATAACATATTCATTTCATTTTATTCATATATTTGATTCTGTATTGAAAATGTAAAATATTCTCATCTCCAAATTGACCACAGAATCTGTTAATAAAAAATATCCAGGACAAAATTTTGAGATACTCTGTAAGTAGTATGTGTATTATTTAATTAATTGCTTTCCATTAGAGATCATATGGAGACCCAGAGGAGTTCCACGGACAAAAGCGAGAGATCTAGCAGTACCGAAACGAAGACACAATCAACTGGCCCCATGATTGATGCGAAGACGACAATGTCGGCGACATCCTTGACGGTCGACGGAAAGACGTCCGTCGTCACCATGACTGAATCGAGAATAGTGACAATCAATACCTCCACTTTGTCGACCTTGAGCGTTGATACAAAAGCTATTGATAACAAGTCCGGTATCAATCTGGACGCATCTATGAACCCACCGACTATCGTCATGTCCTCGGTAACGCCACCGGCGATCTCACCGACGGCCGGAAGTAGCCTACCGCTTCCTGGTACGTCGACTTCCGGTAGCTCCAGCCCAGTTGGTTCCCCAAACGTCAACAATACACCTACGCATCCGTTACTTTCCACTCGAAGAGACTCGACAACGCAGGTAAACTTTGCGTTTTTCTTTTACGATGAAGAATATCAATCCAATAATTTGATGTAATAAGTTATAGCGATGTAAAATTAAATTTTTTTATATATTTAACAAAAATATAGTTAGAATTTTCCAATTGCTCAATTTTTGTGTAATTTATTAAAATGTATCTGTAGCTGTCATAAATTTTCTATTTCTTTTGTTGTTTATATATTGCATATTAATGGTTTATCGACTTTTTTAACAGTGTTATTACAAGAGTAAAGAAGTTTCGCCGAATAAATTGTCGAGGCTGATACGTCAACAGGCAGCAATAGACGAGTCCATGCCACCCACAGGGCGTCGTGGCAGTCAGCCAACTTTATCACCGGATCCTGATGATGGCGGTAAATACCAATTGTTGCTTTAGTTTTTCAAACAATACATGAAATTAAAATTCTATATAATTCTATATTGTCTGCAATTAATTTTTCTTTATGTATCTATTATATAATTTTTTTTTATATATCTGTTAATTTATTTGTATTTTTATCTCGCACAAAATACTTAAAATCGATCATTTCAATTATGACATAACGATTCTATTAACTTCTAAATTGTAATAACGTCAGTCTCTCATTTCTGCAATGAGTTTTCAAATTTAAAGAAACATTTTGATATAAATTAACATTTTTTTGAAATGATAATTGAAGAAGATATTAAAATTGAGAGATATTGTTATAATTCTTTAAGTTATAGGATATCTATACTAATTTTATCGATATATTTGAAGGTCGAAAAGCACGAAGAGACTCCTTGAGTCCGGATTCCGCTTCTTATCCACGACGTCGTGACTCAAGAAGTCATTTGAGTCCCGACAGAAACGTTGATAAAAGAGATATCAGTCCTATCAGGCAAAGAAAAGCTCGACTGAGAAGGCAATCCACCTCCATAGCTGGTCGGCCACCAAGGTACCTGCATTTTATTGATTTTCTAACATGAATGGCGTAAATGCGATGATCCATTTAATATTCATAACAATTATTAACATTTTAAATTCCAAAATATTTTAATATGTGTACCTAACCAAGCTCTATTTTATATATTGAAATATTATTATATATTATTATATTTATAATATACTTATTAATATTTTTACAAATTATTTTTAAATATTTTATACGCATTTTAAAATATTTTTAAATTATAAATATCTGAACAATTTCAGATCACATTTTCGCCGAATAAACTTTAAAATTTTAATATAATTATATTAATTTGTAACATATTAAAAATTTTCCCATATATATATATTGCAGATCGCCGGACAGCTCCTCATGTTCGTCCAGAGATCCCAGTCCTTGTGCTCGCGCACCCAGCGGTATCCAACATGCACCAATAATACGACGGCAATCGACCACCGAAGAAATTTTGATAGCGCGCGGTTTTCGACGGCAGAGTACCACCGAGGAGATGATACGATGCCGTAATTTTAGACGACAAAGCTCTCAGAGTGACGACACGGTTTGTTCATTTCGATAATATTCATCTCGAAATAAATATAATAGAAAATATAATAATGCTTCATTAAAAAACAAAAATTTTGATTTTTTTTTAAATTTGCATAAACTTAAGGATATTGAATAAACAAAAAAATTTATAAAAGGAAATATTTATAAGAAATCTTCCTTACGTAATAAATATAAGAATAATTTTTTAAAAATTCTATTCTATTCAAAAAATTTAACATTTTTAAGAAAGCAACATAAAACTATTAGAAGCTAACTAACTAGACCTAAGAATATTAATGTTTTTCATTTATGTAATTAACGATCATGAGATTTTATTTCTTATTTATTATTATTAGGTTCAGAGATATCGCGGACGAAGAGATAGCTCTGCGCAAATCACGGATGGCACCTTCGCGACAATGACAGTCGAAACATCTAGCACATTTTTTGACAGCAGCACCCAGACTGGTGAGTAACTAAAGATTAAAAGATAAATATAATTTCGCGCGTCGTACAAGTAAAAATATTGTAATTTACGACATAATGGTGAATTCCAGCGTGTTCCAAATTCACCCTGACCTCTCCTCTGACAGTAGAAATTTTCGCTCCGTGATGTATTCTTAGTACAAGAGGGATCTTGTAATTTCGTAAATTTTCAGCACTCTTAAAATATTTCGTGTTGCGCAAGGCAACACAGAATACGTGAAAAGATAAACATCTCTTACTCTTGAAAAAATAAACATCTTTTACTCTTGAAAGAATAAACATCTTCATTAAGTAATATCAATGAAGAAAACATGTCCGCGCCTTAGCGTTTCATTTTCTGAAAATTTTAGTTGATATATTTTATATATTGAATTTTAGGCATTGAATGAAAAAGGAAACTATCGCAGAATCATCACGTGAATTCACTTAATAGAAAAAATTTGAACAAAAAGAAAAATTAAAATAAAAGAAAAGTTTTTATTTGCTTTTTTCTAATCTTAAAAATAATTATATATCGAGATTTCTATAATCTTTGCTCAATCATTGTCACATAAATCAATTATAAATATTATTCATAAATTGTGTTAATTATAATATATTACATTTAACAAAATTGAAAAAAGTTATAAAAAAATATTGAAAAATTTTTATTTTAAATAATTTGGTGAAAAAGAATTATAAATAAAATTTCTCTTTTATAAAAAGAAAGTTTTTTTTCGTGATCAAATTATTAAAGTCATACTGCAATAGTATAAGATAATGATACTTGTTGACTCGACGATATTATGTTTCATTAAGTCAAAAATTTTTTTTCACAAAACTTTCTTTTGATTTTTTAAACACAGCTGAAAAATTGTTTCCTTATTTATCATATGCCATATAAAATCTCCAATAACATTATAAAATCTTTCTAATAGAATATTTCAAAGATTCATATAATCATGACATTTGCTTTCATTATTCTAAATAGCCAGGAAACCTAAATATTCGCTATCAAATATGTTGCATCTCGAACGTTATGCTAAATTCGCGCTTCTATTTTCGCGTCATGCGCGAATAGCCGGCGTCGCGACGCTCGAGGACGCAGGCGTCATCGTGACCGGATTAGTTCCTGCGAGGTAACACTGGGGGTGCACCGTAGTCGATAGACTGGAAAACAGAAAACCAACCCTTGTGAGGTACTCCTCGTCTAAGGACGAGCGTGCGTGTACACTCGTCGCGGCTCCGCCTCGTGCGCAAGGTGTTCCCGTCATCGTAAGACGAGGAAGTTGGAGCAATCGCGAAGGAACATCGCGTTCTACACTGAAGTGAGAGTCTCGAAAAATTTCGTCGTACTCGGGGACCAGTATTTATCTCGGTCCTCTCGAGGATCGACGATCGAAGTCGACCGATAAAGGATCGCTCCTGAAGAAAGGACTTTTCACGAATGGACGACTCGTCTAATCCTTCGTGTTTTAATTGAAGGTGCACGCGGCAAATCCTGTCCGTCCCGCTTCTACCTTCGTCTGTTTACACGCCTCGAAGAATCGATCCTAGGACGATCAAATGTCGGTGGTGAGCCACGCCGTCAGAAAGGTGCGTAGCCCTTCCTGCGGAAGGTTGATGTGATCGAGTTTATCCATTAGAGCGATGAAAATACGTTAACCGTGGGTGGTGGCTCTTCTTCCGAGTGATAGATTGAAGTTTACCGACTCTTAAGATTTCCGTGTGAAACGACTAGGCATTCCTCTCTTCGTCGGTTCCCCCCGCATATGTGTGTATGTACATACATGTAATATATTCTACAAGCATACATCCTGAGTTGACGTTCGCGGAGCGCACGATCAGGTGTTTTCCGCTGACAGGACGCAACCACTTGTGGCAGAACCCGGCGAACTCTGTCGTTCGATATCGGTTCCGATATCACGCGAAAAATTTGGAAATCGGCCAACACGCGGCACGCGTCGTCAGGGAAACAGGACCTAACTCGTCCTATCGTCGCGCGACCTAAAAGGTCCTTCCGTGACCTTCGAGGCGGCGGCGGACGTCTCCGTGCGTCCTTGACACGTTATGTCGATCGTTCGATAGTCACGCGCTATTAGTCGGTGTGCCGATTGTGTGTTTCCTCTGTGAAGTTCGAATGCGAAATTGGCGAGTGATGGCGAGAAGGACTCGTCCTAGCGATCGAGGACTTTACCGTTTTCCTGTCAACGCGATCATGATGCCGGAAACTCTTGCGAAAGTGATGATCCACAGGTATGTTTCGACCGTATAAAATATATGTCGAACGTAGATCCTTATTCTTATTGCGCGATCTTATGCACAATTGTGATAAAAACATTTATCGATTTTTTTGTACGATTGATAATAATTTTTTTTCAAGAGAGCGTTATGATATTCTTCGAATAATTTACTTTATGTACGCTTTTTATGCGTTATATTTTTATGATTCACATTTATATAATTTACGAGCGGAAACTCTGTAGAATTTATTTTTTACATGGATATCTATCCGATTTATATAACGCGGTGTATCGTTTCAATTATTAATGTGTAATACGATTTTTCAAATGTAAAGCTTAAAAAAATCTCTATCATTAATTTAGAGTAAATTTAAAACAAAAAATTTTTTAAGTAGATTTTCGAAGACTAGTCTTTTTTTCAATCTTTCAATATTTAAAATGTGTGTGTGTGTGTGTGTGTGTGTGTGTGTGTGTGTATATATATATATATATATATATATATATATATATATATATAATAATTTTGAATATTGAAAGATTAAAAAAAATATAGTCTTCAAAAAAATTTGTCTACTTAAAAAATTGTTTATTTACAATTTACTCTAAATTAATGATAGAGATTTATATATTGATAGATTTATATATATATAATTGTATTATAACCGTAATATAAATTATTTATATATGTATAAATAATTTACTATATAAGATAATTATAAAATTTTGAATTTATAACGTAAAAAGTTTTGCTCTAGTTCAATAATCAATTAAATAACATAAATGATATATGTATTAACTGTTAACGAGAAAATAGTGCGAAGCTTATCGCATGTCACACCACAATTAGTAACGTGTCGTGTTTCACAATACTTGAGATTAATAAGTCAATATGAATTATACGTGCTAATTTGTGGTTAGTCGCCAATTTAGATTACGAATCCCGACGCACCGTATTCAAATGTCAAAGTTAAATCTTTACAAATTTAACACATACCGACGGATAACGTAATTTACTCCAATGCAATTTACTTAAAGTTTAATACGTTAATGAACATTATATATACACATTCATTATAGTATATCTATAATTAAAATCGCGAGTTTTTAAGAGTACGATAACTCAACTTTATTTCGGTCTCATCGTGTAGGATGATATTCACAAGACACTCGATTACATTTATTCATAATGTTATCGTCTTTTAATGGATCGACGATACTGATAGTACAGAATTTAGTGTGCTACATTTAAATTCGAAACGGCAATTTTGCCGAGCTTATGGCGTGTTCGAGAAGAGATATAAGATAATCGTGTCCCTCGACGACGTCGATGGTGATAAATATTTTCATTGCGAATTTTATGACAGACGTGATCAGTTGAGTAGAGAAGCGCTCCTCGTTAGAACGCTTTTATCGCGGACCGTATTTAATACACGTCATTGAAGTTGCGCGCACGCGTATGTTAGAATCAATTATAAAAATAATTCCTTTAACATTGCGCGTGAATATTTCGCCTTTACTTTTCTTTAATCTGCAAAGACCGAGATTAAAATGTTGATTCGTTCGTAATCTCGCAAACCAAAACGAGTTTCATTTAGTTAATTAAATCGCCGACGGTTTTATTTATAGCAGATCCGTTATAACATAAAGGATTCTTTTTTCGTCGATTTAATTATTACAATCACGGCGGATTAATCGCGCAGCTTTTCAACTCACAAAGAGATTCGTGTCGGAACTATGCGGGGGCGAATTATTTTTGCAAACTTTGTTTCTCCGTTGCTGAAGGAAGAATCGCTACAAGAAATTTAACTTGATCTGGACGACCGGAAGTTGTTTCTTACATCTCCTCGGCGTATTAGAGATTCGAAGTGTCGACAACTTTACGCTGATTTTGCTAGCAAGTTTCAAAACGTATCGCGCATTATTAATATCGCGAAAAAAAATCTGTCTAGTTCGTACGAATATTTTCAAGACGGTAGATTATTGAATTTGATCCTTATTTATATAAAAGGATTTATACGAATTTGATCCTTATTTATATAAAAGGATTTATACTTCAACGATAGAAAATAAATCCTTATTTACAAAAAAGGATTTATTTTCTATCGTTGAAGATCTACAACAAAAAAGCTGAGTATCTACGCGACTAGTTAATTAATCAGATATGATTGAAAATAATGTTTGAAGTAAGTAATTAAATCGTATCTATTAATAATAATTTAATTTACAAAACGATTGTTGAATATCTAATTAATGATAAACGCGTGACTACACTCAACTATGTTCTGCAATCAGCTCTTTTCTCGTACAGGTAATATTAAGTATGCATATCGGCGCGTACATTCACAAGTGCGCTTTTAAATTAGCCAATCGATTGGTACCCATCGATAACGATTTAATTAGAGACAATTATCGAATACGCAGCGAAACGTAATAGAATTGCCATCAGTTCATGTTGTAAAATTAACTCTGTATGCCCATACAGATAATTTTCAATAATTCTAAATTAAGTAACCTTCTTACAATGAAAATATTAAAATTGTAAAAAAATATTTATTGTCTAATATATAAAAAATAATCTATATATATAAAAATCGGTTATTATATTTATTTCGATGTCCGTTGTTTTTTTTTTTCGTAACAATTACAACTTGTTATGTGCACTGCGCTTTGCAATATTCATCAATCTGCAGTTTATTACATTCCTCTTGATCTTCTTTCTTCGTTGCCGAAGGTTTTTCCACTTTTATGGCCGTTTTTTAT